AAAAAAAAAAAAAAAAAAAAAAAAAAAAAGAAGAGACAGCAGAGAGCTCAATCTCTCCCTATGCCATGTGAGAACACAGGCAGCCATCTTCAAGCCAGGAAGAGGGCCCTCACCAGGAACTGAATCAGCTGGCATCTTGACTTGGACTTCCCAGCCTCTAGAACCATGAGAAATAAATTTCTGTTGTCAAAGCCATCCAATCTGTGGAATTTTGTTATAGCAGCCCAAGCAGATGAATACAACCTTCTTATCCCCCTCCAGTCCCACATTGTGAGGAAGCTGAGGCAGCTGTGGAGAGGAACCGAAGCCCCTGGCTCTCAGCCCTTGATGGGCTCCTGGGCTTTCAGCCAGCACCAACTTTTTTTTTTTTTTTTTTTTTTTTTGTCTTTTTTCATGTCCGGCAACGGACCGCAACCCTCAGTGTCGCGCCCGCACCGGACCAGGACCGGCAACGGGATCGCAACCCTCGGTGCTGCGCCCGCCCCTCGCTCAGCCAGTGAGCGGGAACCGGTCTGTATGTGGGATCCGAACCCTCGGCGGGAGCGCCGCCACGCTTCCCAAGCAGCGCACTGTAGCAGTGCGCCACCGGGCCGGCCCTCAGCCAGCACCAACTTGACAGCCATATGAGTGAGTCATCTTGAAAATGGATCCTCCAGTCCCCCATCGAGCTGCACTAGCAGACATGTGGAGCAGAAATGAGTTATCCCCATCAAGACCTGTCCAAATTGCAGATTCATGAGGAAAATACTATTTTTTATTTTATTTTGTTTTAAAGTGGAGGTTAATTTATTTATGGCAGCTGGCTGGTATGGGAATCTGAACCTGTGACCTTGGTGTTGTAAGGCTGTGCTCTAACCAACTGGGCTAACTGGCCAGACCCCCAAAATATTTTTTTTTAAAGCCACTGAGTTTTGGAGTCATTTATTATGCAGCAATATATAACTGATACATTTGCTTGTAAATTCTTGCTTTTCTGGGTACGGCAAATCTGAAAATGTCTTTCTTATATCCTTATATTTGGCAACCAATTCTGCATTGACAATAATTTTACCTCTAAACTTTGAATTTTTTTCTTCACTGTCTTCTAGCATCTGTTGTTGTGGATAAAAAGTGAGACACTTGGATTCTTAATCCCCTGAGGAGATCTTTGTATTTTCCTCTTTGGAAACTTTCAGGATCTTCCCCTGATCCTTGTTCTCCTGGTATTTTATAAAGATGTGTTTTGGTGTAGGTCCTTTGCTATCCTCTGTGTGGGGAGCTCAGAGCAACCTTTTACCCAGAGAACAAAACCTTCCAACTCTGAGAAATGTTCTAATAAGATTTCTGTGGTACTTTCTTCCCCTCTGGAATTCCCATTAGTTTGATACTGGCCTTGAATTTCTAAGCTTCTTATCTCTTGTTTATTTCCTGAGTGATTTCCTTATCTTCCAACTAACTTATTTTTCTTTAAACAAGTTATTTTCATCTTTCCTGCCTCTGTGGGTTGACTGGGTCCAGCTGAAAGGCTCCTCTGGTAGTTGCAGTCAGAGAGGAACTGGGGCTGGACCCCGGCCCTTACTCACGTATCGGGCATTGGGGTGGCTGAGTCACTCAGGGCTGGCTGTGGGTCTCCCTTGGTGAAGCTTCTCCACATGCTTATCTGGGCTTCCTCAGGGCATGGTGGTCTCTGGGTAGATTTCTTTTTTTTTTTTTTCCTTTTTGTCTTTTTTCGTGTCCGGCAACGGATCGCAACCCTCAGTGTCGCCCCCGTACCGGACCGGGACCGGCAACGGGATCGCAACCCTCGGTGTTGCCCCCGCGCCTCGCTCAGCCAGTGAGCGGGAACCGGTCTGTATGTGGGATCCGAACCCTCGGGTGGGAGCGCTGCCGCGCTTCCCAAGCGGCGCACTATCCAGTGCGCCACCGGGCCGGCCCTCTGGGTAGATTTCTTAGCCCGATTTCTCCAAAAGTGAGCATCCCAAGAGCCAACTTAATTAAAAATAACTTTAACCTATCATAATTTTATCTCCTGAGAGCTTTTCCTTGGGCTATTTCTCGAAGCGTCTATGACTGTTTTATGAGTGGAAGATATTCCCAAAGGCTGTTTTGGAAGGCTCTTCATTTCTTTGCATTTTCTATTTCTTATCAGGTCATCTTCTTAATTTATGTTGGGCTCTTCTTTTTATTTTTATTTTTATTTTTTTAAGATGACGGGTAAGGGGATCTTAACCCTTGACTTGGTGTTGTCAGCACCACGCTCAGCCAGTGAGTTAACCGGCCATCCCTGTATAGGGATCCGAAGCCGGGGCGTTGGTGTTATCAGCACCGCACTCTCCCGAGTGAGCCACGGGCCGCCCTTATGTTGGTCTCTTCTGAGACATACCATAAATTTCATTTTGGAAGTCTTCCCAAACACCCAATGATTCTTAGCTGTCTGTTTAAATCTAAAAACAAGGGAATATGGAGCTAATAGGGAGTTTGCATTCCAGAATGGGACTTATCAAATGCTGGGCTTTGCTGTAGGAAGACTGGATAGAGAGCCCATCGTCAGGCCGGCCTCAGTCCCACACTATAGAGGGGTCTTTTTCTGGGATAATCAATATCTCTAGAGGTGACAGCCCCTCCCCGTTTATGCTGGTAGGACCCTGGCTGCTGTGGGATTTGTGTGTGTTTGAGGGGATGGAGGGATGTAGAGGAGCGGGATCTGTTGACTCCCACACAGACACATATATCTGTCCCTGTGGTGTCTCCGCATCCCCCTTCTCCTAGCCTCTCACCTTGCCAGGGCTCTGTACACAGGACTTCATTGTCACCAAGCTTTGCCTCTGGACATTGATGACATTCTCTCAGCAGCTGGGAGCCCACTCCTTTCTCTTCACTGTCGGGGTTTAGACTCCCTTCCCTTCCCTTCCCTTTGACAAGTTTAAAGGTCC